TTTGATCCTTTTCAGAACAGTCCATAAAATGTATTGTTAATTAATTTTAGGTAAATTTGGTTGTTTTCGCAAGAGAAGAAAATTTGCATTCTTTTTTTGCACAAAAGGTGTTTTTAAGCACCAATTTTTCTGTTTTTTTCAGTTTTGGACAAATTTGTTTAAAAATACGAAAATTGGCACCATTTTTGGCTAAATAGAATATTGGACCCTATAGTAGAACGTGTTCATTTCTGTTACAAGGCTGAACCGCTCACTTTGGTACTCCTTAAGTTTGGTCTTTATGTCTGATACGATGAGGGATAGATTCAAAACATTTTCACTTACATCACGATTCTCATCTTTTAATTGCTGCTCTTCGCGTTTCAGATCGACAATAGTTTTATCTTGAGATAGACTTCGCGTGTCGTTTGCTTTTAGCTCAGAAATTTGTTGATTTAATTCGCATATCTTTAACGTAAACTCTTTCTTTAAATTAAGAATTTTGTTATCCACTTGCTCAATGATTGAGTCTGTATTGATTGGGTCATTAGAATTTGTCGAAAAGCATTCTTCACCATTGGTACTTCGCTCGAGCGTGCCGTCGTCATTGTCGTCTTCGTTTTCGACGTCCGCGCCATTTTCAAATTTTTCGCCGGTTGAGAGAGATCTTTCTTTATTTACTTCAGCCGTTGCGGATTCTTCACTAGCCAGCAGAGCAAGTTTATCCATTCTCCGACTGCTATCCTCACCATTAATCGTAAGAGAGAAGCTGTCTGTATACCATCTGATGGTTAGATTCTCGTCTTCAAATATTTTGCAATAGCCACCAGGCGTTGACCACTTCGTCTTCGCTTTTATTCCAAGCTCTCGGATCAAACAAGATTGTAGATCACAAAAGCTGACTTTCCACTTAACCCTATTTGTACCGGGGTATTTTCATGTTTGATATGACCGGGGGTGCGCTGATAGGGCGCTTCCCTTAGAAATTCTGTCGATTAACTGCCATTATCCTAAAAGTTTTATTTTTAAGTCTATTTAACCCAAAAATAACAAAAATTTAAATTTACATCCAAAATGCTGTTTTTCGGGCCCATTGGATACGACCGCCTGTAAAAAAATGGCGAATATTGCTAATATTTTACCCATTTTGGTTATTTTTCGTAATGAGATAAAAAACATTTTGGATGTGATATTTTTTGGGTCTTTTACATTCAAAAGACATACTTTTATGTTATGACATATCTCAGATGTCCACAAACACCACTATTTTTCTTTCCAAGCTGGCATTTTTGTACCATATGAAAAGACATACAACTGAAACTTACCTGTCTCCCCATATAAGCAATGCAAATAATTTTCAACATCACTGATTTTACATTCATCACTGTGACACTGTCATTGTGGTCATAATGTTCCATAAATCGCATAATATTCCCTATTGCGCATTCTGCTGAAACCATAGTTCTCTTTGTTGGCATAACTTCTTTAGAACAAAGCGAATAAACGTTTATCTGAATTCTGAAGTCGATCAACAAAAGTTTGTAGAAAAAATACGAAATGCATGGCGACCATGTTTTTATATCAATATACTATGTGTTACATGAAGTGTACCACATTCACTTTGAAACTACAATATTCGCAAGGATTCTATGCGAAACATTTTATCTAAATTCGTACATTTGTCGTAACAAAGACCGTTCATATACTCTGCAATATATCATGGTTCCTACATGTTTGGTGTTTACTCAAAGACAGGAAGATGTTATGCCTTGAAGGTACAAAGAAATATGTGTATTTGTGTATACAGAAATATTATAAATAAGCATTTTATATTATATAAGTATTTTGTAGTATACTATATTACATGTTATACTATATTTTACTATTTGATATAATATATTATGGATATTTTACTTTGCAAATCATGTGTAATAATCCATCTTTATATGTTCTCTAATTATATATTTATGTTTTTTATGTCCTGGGAAGTGATTCTGCAAAAAAATGCTGTGCAACCCACATTTTCCCATTTTTGGCCTCGACACCTTGTTTAACAAATGTCGCCAAACGTCCGGATAACGATGAATTTTCAGAAAAATTTTTGCGCAGTCATGACGGCAGAGGAAAAATATTAAAAGTCATGAAAGCACAGGCAAATGAGACCATTTGTTCAGGAATGTCGGATAAATATTTATAGGGGTATTCATTGTGCGCACCTCTGGAACAAATAGGGTTAAACTTCCCCTTCTTACTAACTGTTAGGTTCTGCTTTATATCACAGATATTTAAATTAATCTAGATTGTAAGAGCTTACTAGAAGCACCCTCCATTCTCCAGTTGTCTTCTCAATTCTTAAACACGCTTTCGTCCACTAAATGGGCGAAGGATTATTTAAATAAAACTATGTATTGGAGGAAAGTATGGGTGATATGATTCTTTGCAGTTTGTCATGGATAATGTAGCCGCTTGATATAAAATTAATCAATTGTTAGTATTTTAAAGGTATAACATTTAAACGATAAAGGTCTGCATGATTTTGAAAAAAGAATGATTATTAGCAAATTATTGGGTCGGCTGCAGCCTTTCCAGTTGCTACGGCCCTGAGAAGTAATATACCGAAACACATTTACCGATTTACGATTTGTTAAATGTTATCCATGTAAATGCCATGATTTCGTAAATCTGTTTATTACTGACAATACTAGCCACCTCCGCAGGCATCTCACCTGAGGAATCGGGTGGTGGGCCAGAAATATTTTTTTTCAAAACCCAT